GAAACAAAAACAACCATGTTGTTGCTAATGACTCTCTCTCTCTCTCTCTCTCTGTCTGTGTGTGTGTGTTTGTTTGTCTACGCCTTCTTGGTTACACGCATTCCCCTGACATGAGGTGAAACAATTACACTGAATCCATCGCTTCATCTACTGCAAGGAAAGCTGGTTTCCTGTCTCGAGCCAGACGTTTTTTTTTTCCTCGTCTGAGTCCATGCTTCAAATCTATAAATCTGCTATTTATTCCTGCACTGAATACTGCTTACATATATGGTCTGGTGATCCCGCAGTTCATCTCGACGTCCACGACAAAAAACGAGAGACGGATATGCAATATAATAGGTCCTGATCTGGCATCTCGTCTACAGTCACTTTCTTAGCGAAAATCTTCAATTATTCAAATGTAATGTCAATCGACATCTACTGTTGCTTTATTCCTGATTCCCGTCTTTCTCTATATCCTTTCCTCAAACACACTGCTTTTCCTGCTACTTCATCTCTGTAACCCCTATGCGTGTTAGTGATATCCTGCCCTTTTTTTTAGAAAAAATAAATTATATATATATATATATATATATATATATATATATATGTATATATATTCTAAAAAAAATATTTTATTAATCAATAATTATGATTACTATAAAAATTTCTATTTAAATATAAGGAAGTCTCCTTTAATTAAATCAAAATATTGTGAAATTTGACCAGATATACATTGTTCTATATATATCATTATTATATTTTATAATATATAAATGTTATGAAAAAACAAAATGTATATAATATATTATATTTAAATCAAATATTTGATAGTTATATATAAAAATCTTAAAAGCTTAAATAGCGAGTTAATATATATATATATATATATATATATATATATATATATATAATATATATATATATATATATATATATATAGTTTCAAATAGATGTATTTAGAAAAACTGTTAGAACATTAACCTCAATCTCCTTTTCATTCACACAGAAAATATGAAAAGCTTAAATGTTGCTCAACTTTTTTCTCGAGAGCCTGTACTTTATAATGCTCCATAAGTTTTCTATGGGGTTGAGGTCAGGAGATTGGGGTTTTGTCATAACACTCACCTGCTTCTCATCAAAGTATTCCTTCATCAATTTTGATTTGTGACAGGGAGCATTATCCTGCATAAAAATGAGCTTGGTGGGGTCGATTTTGCACCCTTTCAGCAGAAGGGAGCAGACAAGACTCTAAAATTCTCTTGTACTGCTCGCTCCTGAGGGTCTTTTTTCAATAGGTTTTAAGAAACCAGTTCCATGAAAAGAAAAGCATCCCCAGAACATTATACTGAACGGATGCTTGACAGTACTTACTGCTAAATTCAAAGAGCTTTCAAAGCTTCTTCTTCGGATTTTAGATCGCTTATCCTTTGAATTTAGCTCAACTTTCGTTTCATCGGAGAAGAGAACATTTAAAAAAAAAAAATCAGATGAGTCACAAGTTTTTATCGAACAGCACTGTATATATATATATACATATATATATATATATATATATATATATATATATATATATATATATATATATATATATATATAATAAAATCCTCTAATGGTGACTAATATTCCATGGTCATAATTTATTCCATTGGAATTTAAAATACTGATCCAATTCATCAGACCTACAAAGGAGGAAAAAAAGAAAACAGAAAAACCATTCCGGAAATAAAAACAGAATTTAGAGAGAATCGGTTAAATATGAGGAGGAGGAAGATTAAACCTTAATAGAGAGAATTTTTTTAGTAATTGGGTGGAAAGGAATTTAAGAAAAAAGAAAATGAATTTTGTCGGATGTCTAATGCATAAAATACATTTCATTTTAAGCCCTAATATATATATATATATATATATATATATATATATATATATATATAGTGAAAAGAAGATTTTCTCAGGAGGGAAAGAAGAAGAAGAAAATCAGAGAAAAAAAAAAGAAAAGGATACGAAGAAAAAGCATAGAAATCAAATATATGCGAAGAAGAAGCGAGTGATACGAAGAAAATATAAAACTAATAAACAGAAAAGATTTTGATAAAAAAAAGACGAAAAAAAAATTTTGATGAAAGAGAAAATTTTTAAAAAAAAAGAATAAATATTAAAAAAAATTGATTAAATTATTTATATTTATGAAGCAAACACGAAAAGAATAAAAAAAAATGAAAAAAAAAAATTGTTAAAATAAAAAGATTAAAAAAAATGATTAATATGCTGAAAAGGTTAAAATAGATTGATTATCTTTTCATTTTCTTTTTTATATAAATAAAGAAATATCCGATGGAGAAAACAACTGACAAGGAAGAAGAATAAAAGCGACAGAACACCGAAGAACCAAAGTAAACAAACAAGATGGCTGAAATGGGAAGAGGAAGAGAATTTTTGAATGGGTAAAAAAACAGCTATTTAAAAATGTCCATCATTTTATTAATTTCTTTTAAAAAAAAAAAAAAAAAAATCGAATATTTTTAAAAATATTAGCGATGGATCGGATGTATGACTTCCAGTCGATATCTGGGACGACTTGAATTCGGACAGATGTCAAAGCACAAATTCCTCCCGTAGAGTTTAGATCCTTCCGATGAAAATATATGAATTGTTCTATATGATCAACTTTTTTTTGGTACTAAATAAAGTGAACGCGTGAAGGATTTGAATCTGTGTAATTGGATTTTTTTATTAAGATAATTTCTTTCGCACTGATGAAATAACAACGTTTATATTTTTCTTAGAAGAAGAAAAAAAAAAAAAGAATTTACTTTTTTAAAATAAAGATTTTACAACGGCGACAATTGAAAGAAATAACTCTTTTTTGATGCTTTAAATGACATCGTATTTTTAAAATAAATAAAATAATATATACGCGAACAAGGCTGCGAGGAAGATTGCGGAGGAAATGATTTAAAAAAATTTAAATTTCAAGATAAAATATTTCAATGATAAATCCTCGTGGAAGAGGCTTAAAATGAATGATTTAAACGCAGATCCCACTTACACGATATTCGCAGAGAGATATAAAGATTTAAAATTTGATATTTTTCAAGTTTATTACGAAGTTGATTGAACACCATCAAAAATCTTATTTCGACATTTGAGAATTTTTAACATTTTTGATTAAAATTTCAAGAATATAGAATTCCAAATCACCGGCACGAATTTAAAATTTCTAACTTTTTTGCCATTTAAATTATTGAAAAACACACACACAAAAACACACACACAGAATTTATAATTAATGTTTTTAATAAATATAGAGATGTGAAAAAAAAAAATTTTTTTTTAGAAATAATTTTAATTTTTTTTTTATTTTATCCTAATATATTTTTTGAGAAGTAAAGTTTCAAGGCCTCGTGACTTTCATCAGCTGTAGAATGATTATTTTGGACATATGATTTAAAAATTTTTTTTTTAATTCCTATTTTAAATTTCAAGGGAATTTATTGAAATTGTCTCAGTTTTTAGGTGGGATAAAGCTATTAAATTTTAGAAGAGAAAGGGAAGAAAATATATCAGTAATATATATATATATATATATATATATATATGTGATGTAAATGTGTGTGTGTTCTTTGTGTGTGTGTGTTGTGTGTGTGTAAAAGATGTGTGTGTGTGTTGTATTTGTTTGTGTTTGTTTGTCTGTGTATAGGGTAGAATTCCGATTGACCCCAAATTAAATGGAATTTGATGGTGCGACAAAAGTAACCGGATGTCTTGACACTCTGGTGAGCTGTGATTCTAATGAAACATTCTTTCTTTGGAAACACTGTATATATATATATATATATATATATATATATATATATATATATATATATGCCAATAATGTATAAAATGCTTCTATCACGGATTGGATTTTGTAATGTCAAGGTATTCATTAATAATAATCATTGTATACAAGTTTGACCGGTTTAATTTTACCGGTTCTAAAATTCAAGTATTTGTGGCTGTAAAATATCCATCTGAAAAACATGGGTGCCAGAGAAAATTGATCGAAGAAATGGAAAAAAATTTTTTCACCGGTTTGCTTCTTCTGCTGCGTAATGTTTATCTTGTAGGTTGCCAAGTGAAACAGAAAAATATAAACTTAGAGAATTGTTTCATATGTTTAGGAAGTTTAGAAATTCGAAAGAAATAAAAAAGAAAAAATGTTAACATTAGAAAGTGCTATACCTGAACATACCTATTCTATTGTTAATAGACTCTCTCACATATAATAAAGAAGTAGTAGTACCAGTCGACAGTTAGCTCAGTGAATGGGTGAGTCAATAGATGTCGGACATTAAAGTATCAACCAAACAACTAGATTGCTTTGCGTCATTAACTGTTATAAAAAGTTTCTAACGTTTTGTACGTCGAACCTTTTTTAGGACCGACTTAGTGAAATACAAGCCCCCACTGTAGAAACTACTCTACAACAGAAAGAAAGAAAGAAAGAAAGAAAGAAAGAAAGAAAGAAAGAAAGAATATTAACATTGCGGAGAAAGAAAGAAAGAAAGAAACAAAGAATATTGATATTAGGAGAAAGAAAGGAAGAACGAACGAAAAAAAGAATATTAATATTTGAAAGAAAGAAAGAATGAAAGAATATTGGGAGAAAGAAAGAAAGAACGAAAGAAAGAATATTAACGTTGGAAAGAATTAAAAGAAAGAAAGAAAGAAAAAGAGAATGAAAAGAAAGAAAAGAAAATGAAAGAAAAAAGAAAGAAACAAAGAAAGAAACAAAGAATATTGATAAAAGGAGAAAGAAAGGAAGAACGAACGAAAAAAGAATATTAATATTTAAAAAGAAAAGAAAGAATGAAAGAATATTGGGAGAAAGAAAGAAAGAACGAAAGAAAGAATATTAACGTTGGAAAGAAAGAAAGAAAGAAAGAATATTAACATTGCGGAGAAAGAAAGAAAGAAACAAACAAACAAACAAACAAACAAAAAATATTGATATTAGGAGAAAGAAAGGAAGAACGAACGAAAATAAGAATAATTATATTTGAAAGAAAGAAAGAAAGAATATTGGGAGAAAAAAAGAAAGAACAAAAGAAAGAATATTAACGTGGGAAAGAAAGAAAGAAAGAAAGAAAGAAAGAAAGAAAGAAAGAATATTAACATTGCGGAGAGAGAAAGAAAGGAACAAACAAAGAATATTGATATTAGGAGAAAGAAAGGAAGAACGAACGAAAGAAAGAATATTAATATTTGAAAGAAAAAAGAAAGAAAAGAATATTGGGAGAAAGATAGAAAGAACGAAAGAAAGAATATTAACGTTGGAAAGAAAGAAAGAAAGAAAGAAATAAAGAAAGAAAGAAAAAGAAAGTGATGGACAGAATAAAGAAATAAATAACGGAGCGAAAGAAGAAAACAAGAAAAAGATAGAATGTAAGGCACAGACGATAGAATGAAAGAAAGAAAAAAGAAAGAATCGAAATAAAAAAAATTAAAACGAAAGTTAGAAAAGAAATAAAAGAAAAAAAAAGAAAGAAAGAAAAGAAAAAAAAAGAAATGAAAAAAAAATTCAAGAAAAAAAAACGAAAGAAAGAAAGAGAGAAACGCAGAGAATAAAGAGAAAATGAATAAACGTAATGCACAGAAGAGATAAAGAAAGAAAGAAACAAAGTGAATAAAGAAATAAATTAATGCACGGAAGGAAAGAAGAAAGAAAGGAAGAAATAAGGAGAGTAACGCACAAAAGAAAGAAAGAACGAAAGAAAGAAAGTCGCTGGAGAAAAAAAAAAGAAAGACGGAAAGAAAGAATATATTTTGAAGAGAAAGGAAGAAGAAAGTGACAAACACATAAGAAAAGAAATGGATAGAAGAAATGAAAAAAAGAAAGAAGGAAATAAAAAAAGAAAGAAAGTAAGAAAAACGAAGAAGAAATAGTCAAAACGAGGCAAATATTAATGCATAGGAGAAAGAAGACAGTTTCAATTTAAATTTAAAAAAGAAAGAACTAAATATGAGAAAAAGGAAGAACACCACCAGCAACAATAACAACAGCAAAAATAACAACAGCAGCAAGAACATTAATAATAATAATAATAACAATAATAATAATATAATTGCTCTTCTGACCTGGCCATACAGTTTCAACATTCTCTTATAGACAGTGGTTAAGTGGTCTTCCACTAAGCCTTTTCCTTGTGCGACGGTGATTCGCACTGCGTCATTTATTATTCTTTCGACATATGAGATGCCTTGAATGGTGTTGCATTATCTCAGGGCTATTAAGCTTACAATGTAAATTCAATGCTAATGTTTTCAGTATAGAACTACATTGAATATCAAGAAGAAAGAGCATGTCATTGATCAGCTAGAGTAAAACCATTATATGATATCCAGAAGTTAAGCGAATTCGAACAGCGTGCGAAAATTGAATATAGCACGTAATTCTGTCATGACCGTTTGTGAGCAGTACAATTATGAGCCAATGTACAACCAGCAAACGCTTAGATTTCCTTATTTTGGCTTTCGGGAATATAATTACGGCTTTATTGTAAACGGATTCGACGGTATCTTTTTTTTGCTTTTGCTTTTTACTATCCTTGCCTCAGTTAGGCTTTTTTTTTTTTTTTTTTTTTGGCGTTCATTTTATTGCTTTCTATATATTTCTCTCTGTTTTATAATTATTTTCTTCGTCTTTTTTTTCCCCAACACTGTCTTGAAATGTCTTTCCTTCTTATTTTTATATATATATGTTTTCTTTTTCCTTCGATGTGAATCTTTTCTCTTTTCTTTCACAGGTTGTATGTTTTTCGTTTTTCTTTTTTTTTTTGTTTTTTCAGTTTTTTTTTTAAGCCTCTTTTGCATTTCTACTTTTTAATACATTTCTAAAAGAATATTTTTGTTTTCTTTGTTTTTAGTAAACCTTTATTTATTTTATTATTTTAATATCTACATCTTAATCGTTGCTAATTTGTTTCACTTTTTGATTGTTTATTTATTTTTACTATTATAAAGTCCGTATTATAAGTTTGGAGATTTCCTGTCAGTATGATTTCTCTGGTCGCATTTACTGCTTCATTTTCATTTATCTTTCTTTCTTTCTTTCTTTCTTTCTTTCTTTCTTTCTTTCTTTCTTCTTTTTGTTATCCTTTCTTGCTTTTTCCTGTATTTATTCTTTTTGTCATCATTTCTTTCTTTCTTTCATTTTTTCTTTTACCTGCCATTTTTCTTTGTGTCATTCATTCATTATTTCTTTCTTTCTTTCTTTCTTTCTTTCTTTCTTTCTTTCTTTCTTTCTTTGTTATGCCTTTATTCTTTTACTCATATTTTGTTTTCCAGAGGTTTTTCTTTTCGTCTTTATTTCTCGTTTTCTTTCTTTCTTTCTCGCTTTCTTTCTTTCTTTCTTTCTTTCTTTCTTTCTTTCTTTCTTTCTTTCTTTCTTTTTTTTTTTTAATCTTTTTTTTTTTTGTAATGTTGAGAGGAAAGTTGGCCATTTTTTCCTGTTTTTATTCTTTTCGCCATCCTTTCTTTCTTTTTCCCGCTTTTATTCTTTTGTAATCATTTCTTTCTTTCTTTCTTTCTTTCTTTCTTTCTTTCTTTCTTTCTTTTGTTATCCTTTCTTTCTTTTTCCCGTATTTATTCTTTTTGTCATCATTTCTTTCTTTCTTTCTTTTTTTCTTTAACGCGCCATTATTCTTTGCGTCATTCATTCATTCATTTTTTCTTTCTTTCTTTCTTTCTTTTTTTCTTTCTTTCTTTCTTTCTTTCTTTCTTTCTTTCTTTCTTGTTCCTGTCTTTGTTCTTTTTGTAATCCTTTCTAATTTTTTTCCTGTTATTTTTTTCGCCATTTTCGCTTTTTTCCCGCTTTTATTCTTTTTAATTTTCTTTCTTTTTTCTTTAACGCGCCATTATTCTTTTCATTCATTCATTCATTTTTCTTTTTTTTTTTTTTAACTCACTTTCTTTTCTTTCTTTCTTTCTTTCTTTCTTTCATTCCTTTCTTAATTTCTTTTTGTAATCCTTAGCATAATTTTTTTCCTGTTATTTTTTTTCGCCATCCTTTCTTTTTTAATTTTTATTCTTTTGTAATCATTTCTTTTTCTTTCTTTCTTTCTTTTTTTTTCTTTTTGCTATTATTCTTTTTTCATTCTTTCTTTTTTCTTTTCTTTATTATGTTCTTTTTTTTCTTTCATGCCATTTATTCTTTTTACTCATTTTTCTTTCTTAGAGGTTTTTTCGTTTTCTTTTTCTTTTTCTTTCTTTTCTTTTTTTTTTTTCTTTCTTTTTTCTTGCGCTATCTTTATTCTTTTTCATCATCATTTCTTTTTTTTTTTTTATTCTTTTGTAATCATTTCTTTTTTTCTTTTTTCTTTTTTTATTATCCTTTCTTTCTTTTCCATATTTATTCTTTTTTTCATCATTTCTTTCAAACATTTTTTTTTCTTTTTTCTATTTTTGGTCATTTTCATTCAATCATTCATTCTTTCTTTCTTTCTTTCTTTCTTTCTTTCTTTCTTGTTCCTGTCTTTATTCTTTTTGTCATCCTTTCTACTTTTTTTCCTGTTTTTATTTTTTTCATCATCCTTTCTTTCTTTTTCCCGCTTTTATTCTTTTGTAATCATTTCTTTCTTTCTTTCTTTCTTTCTTTCTTTCTTTTGTTATCCTTTCTTTCTTTTTCCCGTATTTATTCTTTTTGTCATCATTTCTTTCTTTCTTTCTTTTTTTCTTTTACCCGCCATTATTCTTTGCGTCATCCATTCATTCATTTTTTCTTTCTTTCTTTCTTTCTTTCTTTCTTTCTTTCTTTCTTTCTTTCTTTCTTTTACTCATACTTTCTTTCTTAGTGGTTTTTCTTTTCGTCTTTCTTTCTCGCTTTCTTTCTTTCTTTCTTTCTTTCTGTCTTTCTTTCTTTTTCCTGTCTTTATTCTTTTTGTCATCCTTTCTACGTTTTTTTTCCTGTTATTATTCTTTTCGCCATCCTTTCTTTCTTTTTCCCGCTTTTATTCTTTTGTAATCATTTCTTTCTTTCTTACTTTCATTCTTTCCTTCTTTCTTTCTTTCCGGACCAACTATTATTCTTTTCTTTTTTCTAAGCTTCTTTCTTGTTCCTTTCTTTCTTTTCTGATTGTATTTCCTTCTTTTCATTTTTCTTGTCCTTTTCTTTCTTTTCTGAATTTATTTTCACTTCAACCGTTTTTACTTTTCTTCTTTAACTTTCCCTTTTTTTTTCATTTTATTTTATTTAATTTCATATTTCTTTCTTTATTTTCGGCAAAAAAATTTTGTTGAATTGAGTTTTTTTTAAAGAACCACTTTCTTTTCTTTCATTCCTTCTTTTAAAAATAAAAAGAAATAACAAATCTTCTTATTCAATATCTTTTCATTCTTTCCCGATAATCTGAAAAGAAGAAAATGTAAGCATATCACATTTTAATTTTCAGTTTTACAATTTTCTTTATGACACAAAAAATTCTTCTCTATGTAATCTTACGTTTGCAATTAGTGTGGGGGGGTGTCATATTGTAGCCTCTATTCAAATCGACACACAATGTATCTCATATTTAAGTATTTCTTTCATTCCGCCATTTTAATTCTACTTTTTATTTCCAAATATAATTCTTCTTGTTTCTGTTTTATTCTATTTGTGTCTCGATTTTCTTTCACCTACTCTTCCCCTCTTTTCTGTCGTGTCTCTTCCTCTTTCTTTTTGCATTTCCTTACTAACTCGATTCTCTCCTGCTTATCTCAAAAAGGAGTCGTCTCGAACCAGCGGCAGCCATCTTGTGAAATCCTCTCCTATCGTTCACGCAATCATGTTGACAAATAAGAGACTTAGTCTATTTATTTATTTTTTAATACAGCCAATAATATAAGACCCTCCGATTACTTACTCACACAGTCTTAAGATTACACAAAGAAATAAGGTTAGAAAAACAAAGACTGAACAAACATAACGAACAAGAACGGGCGAACAAAATCTAAGAAAAACACAAAATATCGACTTAAAATATTGCTTGATATCATACGGTGT